CCACTCCAGGCTCTGTTTGCCTGGGTATCAGCAGCAGAGGCTGTAGAATGTAGAATATTGCTGAACAGCGAGTGTTGCTGTCTGATTCTTGCTCTGGAAGCTTTGTCTCAGGGGTGTTCCTCGTTGTGTGAGGTGTGAGGTGTCGGTCTGCACCTAGTGGGGGATGTCTCCCAGTTAGGCTACTCAGGGGTCAGGGACCCACTTAAGCAGGCAGTCTGTCCATTCTCAGATATCAGCCTCCATGCTGGGAGATCCACTGCTCTCTTCAAAGCTGTTAGACAGGGACATTTACGTCTGCCGAGGTTTCTGCTGCTTTTTGTTTAGCTATGCCCTGTCCCCAGAGGTGGAGTCTACCAAGGTAGGCAGGCCTCCTTGAGCTGTGGTGGGCTCCACCCAATTCAATCTTCCCAAGTGGTTTGTTTACCTACTTAAGCCTCAGCAATGGCAGGCGCCCCTCCCCCAGGCTCGCTGCCACCTTGCAGTTAGTGCTAGCAATGAGGGAGGCTCCGTGGGTGTGGGACCCTCTGAGCCAGGTGTGGGATATAACCCCCTGTGTGCCGTTTGCTAAGACCCTTGGTAAAGTACAGTATTAGGGTGGGAGTTACCCGATTTTCCAGGTGTTGTGTGTCTCAATTTCCTTTGGATAGGAAAAGGAATTCCCTTCCCCCTTGCACTTCCCAGGTGAGGCGATGCCTCGCCCTGTTTCACCTCTCACTGGTTGGGCTGCACCCGCAGACCAGCGCCAACTGTCCGACATGCCCCAGTGAGATGAACCCGGTACCTCAGTTGAAAATGCAGAAATCACCTGTCTTCTGTGTTGCTCATGCTGGGAGCTGGATGCTGGAGCTGTTCCTATTCAGCCATCTTGGGCGTGCCCCCATGAGGTATTATTATCACCTCAATTTTACAGATAAGAACTTGCTCAAGTTCTCACTAGTGCTAGTGCTGGAACCTAGACTCAGCTCAATAATTACAAAGCCCATGCTTTTAACCACCATGGTATTTCACACATTGCTATCCCGTCATAGTACAGGACTTGTGACCTCATCATTATAACACAACTAGAACACTGAGCTCTTGTGCTTTCAGATATGTCTTGTGTGTAACAAAAAATAACAGTAGAAAAGGATTATTTGAATTCCAACTCACTAATATTTCTTTTGAGTATATTACAGGCTTTTGGATAAGATAAGACACTCAACCTGAATTTCCATACAACCTGGCTGTAATTCAAGCTTCTA